CATCCATTGTATCAAGCCCCTCTCAACAGTGGATGTGGTCCCTGGAATTTTGCCATGAAAAAATGCAGCCCTAACCAGGCACTCTGGTTTTAAACTAACTATGGTCAATTTTATAGCAACACAACCTCAGACTATGGGTTAGGGAACTCACTTGTTGAACTAACCAGAATTCATTTTAAACCAAGATCTCCTGTGTCTGAATTCATATACATATTATACATATTATGCATCATGTTCACCTAGGTCAGTGGTGGCAAACCTTGGCTCTCCAGATGTTTTGGAACTACAACTCCCATCATCCCTGATCACTGGTCCTGTTAGCTAGGGATGATGGGACTTGTAGTTCCAAAACATCTGGAGTGCCAAGGTTTGCCATCACTGACCTGTTGTTGTTTAGTCGTGACCGACTCTTCATGACCCCATGGACCAGAGCACACCAGGCACTTCTGTCTTCCACTGCCTCCCGCAGTTTGGTCAAACTCATGCTGGTAGCACCACTGACCTAGGTGATTGTAATATAGACAACCCTGGTTGACTCAGATAAGAAACATTTATGTCCTGCTCACAAGTCTCTACTTTTCTCTACTTCTTACAAAGAAAGAAGAAAGAATGATTAGTCCATCAGTTTCAGTGGCTATGCTGAGTGAGTCATAGACTTGCCACCTATAGTACCTCTAGCATTAGATCCCATTATTGCATTTGCATTGCTAATCTTTGCAGTTCTCTCTTTTTACTGTTGCAATAAAACATAACAGGTTTCCAGATGCTTTTTAGGCGTATTAATTAGAGAACACAGAATTCACTCACTCTCTCACGCACTCTCTCTCACACACACAACATGCAGAAAAGCTGCACAGCCAGTTCTGGTTGCTAAGCATTTTGAGAAATTGGAATGTACAGTTCTATCAAGCCCACTTGTGAGCTACTTACTTCTGCCATAGAAAAGGGGGGTGGCGTTGAGGGAAATGGTATGCAAGAATGACTAGAAATGTCTCTTGGTGTGGTTGACAGTTTATGAGAGAAGTCAGAACTGGAAACGTATTTCAAATGTGACATTTCGGTGGCGAACGTGGCAGGAGTGTGCCCAAAGCAGAGTTGGCAGCTGCTTCTAGAAATCTGCATGCCAGGGATTGTAACCTCCCAAATGGGCCAATGCCTGCCTCTTACAGTTGTTACTATTGGTGAGCCAAGGCCCTTTAAGAAGAGCAAAAGGATAGACTAAAGAAGGAGAACCCTGGACAGGTACAGTAGCATAACAGGTACAGTGGTACCTCCAATTACGAACGTAATTCGTTCCAAAGGTCTGTTCTTAAGTCGAAACTGCTCATAACATGAGGCGCACTTTTGCTAATGGGGCCTCCTACTGCTGCCGCGTGACTTCCGCTTGCATCCCGGGGCAAAGTTCGCAACCGGGAGCATCTACTTCCGGGTTAGCGGAGCTCATAACCCAAAGCGTTTGCAAGGAGGTCGGTACATAACACGAGGTTCCACTGTACAGCCAGTGTTCTGCTGCCTAGAGAGGTCACTTCCTGGTTTGCATGGAGAAGCCATTTTCAACAGAGCCCAGCAATGGAAGCGCACAGCTGTACTGAGGCAGCACCAGCTGTTGAAATTTTGCACCCCTAACAATTTTTGTGCCTGGGGCAGCCGCCACAGGACAGGTGGGAAGCATATTTGTGAAAGGTTGTTCAGAACTCCCTACAGCAGCTAGAAAACTAGCAAATAAACGACAGGACTTTTTTCTCCCAGATATGATAGCGCACCTCAGTCTACCTCCCAGTTCTACAGTAGCCTTCCCCAATCTGATGCCCTGCAAATGTTGCTGGACTATTTCTATCATCCCTGACTCATGTCCATGCTAGCTGGAGCAGAAGGGTGCATTTTGACCTGCTGGGAGCCTGAAGGACCCTGCCCTGCTTCTCTCCATCTGGCTTGGGGCGGGGCCTGACAGGCTCCATAAAGGAGTGCTGCTGCTGCTGCTGCTACTGCTGGGCAGAAGACTCCATTTTTGTTTTTGTTTTCTTTTTGTTTTTGAGTTGCTTTTATTTTTTATCTATGTCATTTTAAATTGTGATTGATATTAATGCTGTATTCTTAGTTTTAGATGTTATTATTTATATGGAAACTGATTTTTATTTGGTTGTGCACTTTTTGATGTGTTTTATTTATTGTTTATGACTTTTGTTATGTTGGTAATTATGTAATTCTTGTCATGTTATTAGCCGCCTTGTTTTAACTATGGAAAGGCGGCATACAAATAAAATGATGATGATGATGATGAAGAGCTGGAGGGTACAAGATTCTCCACTCCTGGTTTGGTGTGTCTGCACTTTCTTTGTGTGTGTTTTATTGCACTGTAATTTATGTAACTTGAATGCAAGATGCATTTTTTAATATTATGAGAATTGCCATTAGGAGTGGATATAGGGTACGTTATAAAGAAATGAGTAAATTGTCAGTAGTAATAAAAATAGATTGTATTGTTAATGTTAGGAGATATTTTCCCATTACTATTCCCATTGCACATTTCCCAGATTTTCATAAGAATTATCACATATTGTGCCCCCAAGGGAAATGCATCTGCAAACGTGTCCTAAATGTTCACCCCTGTGCAAAAATTGCAAGAGAGTTGAGCGTTAGCAGCACAGATTGCAAAGGTAGGATGCTTTTAAGCACCCATGTGATTATTTGGAGAGTTAATACATGCAAAGCATTGAAATATTACATTTTTATGATGTTGGTGAAGAAGAATCCGTTTGTGTTCATGTAAATGTAATACAGTCCAGAGTTAACACAGATTGGTGTTCCTTCAGTTGCCCAAGGCAAACCTTGCTTTTGTGGTTCTTATTATGTGTTTTGTACTTGGCTGCATCCTGGGTGACCTATTTTTAATGCAATGGCAGATTACACTTCAATAGAGTGAATAATTCATAGGTATAGTAGCACTATCACAGTAGCAATACAATAGAAGCTTTTATGCCTGTCTAATTGTGGAGAGAGGCAGCATTCTCTGGCATTTTCTACTGAATTAGCAAAACAAGATACATGTGAAATGAATGATTCTTTCAAATGCAGCAACATCAGGGACACTGAATGATGTGGAAAGGCAGGTTAGGGCTAGCCTATGTGGTATTCAAATGTTTGTTATATAGCTATTGAGGTTTTGGGGGGATTTGACTGAAATAAAGGAAGACAGGATGAAACTGGACCTATTGGTTTTCTGCATTTGCTACTGCAAAGTTATATTGAAAACTTCCCCAGAGATAGCTTGTAAGTTGTATATGCACCAGTAGAATAGATACAAATTAGGAAGGTGAGCACCCCAAAGCTTCCTGGAATATATATAGCCCAGGGAAAGTTTGTGCATGTCGAATACATACTTTAAAAATCCAATAACAAACTGAGGCATTTCAGGTGTGCAAGTAGCAATAAAAAATATAGTATACTTTTATAGGTCAAATCAGCAGAATTCCCATTTCACAGCTATCAGCAGGTCTACAAAAGCAAACTCAAACTGAAATTGTTGTGTTGGTGGAAGCAGTGACATAACTACTGGGGGAGAGGGGCTAGCTGGGTTTTTTGCCCCAGATGAAGCCTTGGGGGGGCACATTCAGCACCCCTTCCTATGTGTGTATGTACACAAATGTGTGTGCCAAACTGGGTCTTTGACCCAGGTGAAATAAAGCCTACTTTCGCCCCTGGATGGAATTGGTGCTTCTAAATGACAGGAATATAATATTACACCAGGGCAAAACTTCTAAAGGCCTGTCCATAGCTTGGCTTAATGTGGATTGTGAACCCCTTGTGCCTCCTTTAATTCCCCCTTGTCCATGCAGAAGTCTCCTCCAACTACTTCTGTTGTCTACACTTTTTGCCCCCTAAATCTGGAGATTCCAAGTGCTCTGGAAATCCAAATAGGGGAGTCAGTTGTACGTCCAAGGCATGAAGAAGTCAGAGGTTTCTACATGAGCACACCTCTCTTGATTTCAGCCAGGCAAGTTCAAACATACATTCCAGCCATCGAAGTCAAAAACTGTCAAGGAGGGTGTGAAGCAAAGGCAGTGACAGTTGTGACCAGGGAAGGCTAGAGGGCTAGAAAGGCATAGAGAGGCATGTTTGCTCCCCAACCCTGAGGTTAAGCACCCCTGCATTAGAGACTCAACGCTGAAGGTTAATGCTGTGTTCATCTACGAGGTGTACCACTAACGCTGTTGATGGTAGTGATTAATCAACGATATAATGACACCTAGTGACAAAACAGAAGCGCTAATACTACCCATATATGCCCTGATCCAGATTATGTCTGTGTGTACACCATAAGGCACAACTGAAGCGCATTCTTTCCGTCAGAGTATTCTGGGCAGAGTTGCAATTCCCAGCAACAAGCTGCAGTGCCCAGAATTCCTTTTTGGGGTGGGGATGTGTTTCAAATGTATGTTCAAGGTATAGTTCATATGCAGCCTTAGTAGTGTGAATTATGTGTGATTAGTGGCACTAGATATGGACGGGGCTGCTCATGTGCACCAGAATGCACTAAACAACTAAAGCAGCAACTTCCAGAATCATATGGTTTAGGGGCTTCTCATCCGCAAATCCTTATGCTGGTCTTTAAGGTTCCACAGAACTCTTCTCTGCTTACATTGTTGAGAGTGACATTGTGCTTATAAACATCCACGCACAGAAACACATTTTGATGAATATACAGCGCCTGGTTTTGCAGTCACCTACCAGTCCCGACCCCCCCCCCCCAAAAAAAAAAAAACACCAGGTTGGATAGAACTGGGCATGAGGAAGGCTTTAGATAATAACCCACCCTGGTGGAACAACAGCGCGTCAGAAATTGAACCTGGCAAACTGCTGCGGCATTCACTCTCGCCACGGTGCAGAAAATAAACTCCGGTCTCTCCTGAGGCATGGGAGACGGCATTACATAAATATTTGCAGAGGAAACAAGAATGCCAGAGTGATCAAATGAAGGGAAAAGGGAAAGCTCTCCTCACCTATAGCAGCTAGTTAAGTCTCGGAGAAGCAGCTGTTTCACTGATCCCTATAGTCTCAGCACGGATGACGCTGGAGTCAGACGCTGCGACCTCCCCCCCCCGCTCCCTCCCTCTCACACACATTCCCTCTCTTCTCTACTGTAACTTTACCAGGGTAACAGAATTGTAGATGCTTCTGCTGGCAGAAGAGTGAGTCAGAGCAGCTAATGACTGAGAGCAAGCTGGTAACTGATGCGCTCTCGCTCTCTCTCCCTGCTCCACCTCCCCTCTCAGTCTTTCTCCCCCCCCCCTTCTTTAAATCAGAAACACTAACTCAGCCACTACTGGCTGCATAGTAGAGAGCAGTACAGTTTGCTTCTCAGATCCTATTGCTGCTGTTATGAGGATTGACTGTGGAAGAGGAGCTTTGGGATTGCAAACCAGTGTATTCAGCTTCCCCACCATACGTCTGAGTCTGTGCATTTAGGTGGGTGCTTTCCCCTTCCCCCTTTTAATTTCCAGACTCATGAGGACTAATATTGTTGCATGTTCTTTCCAAATATTGTAGTGTTTTATATCGTCCTGTGCTTTTTTGTGTCATCTGTCCCTAGTCATTAAGTTATTACAGGATGGTTTGTTTTTAACACTGATTCTTTGCAACATTTGGATGTCAGTTGCTTAAGGAAATTGTTGCTAAACTGTTAAATAGTATTGTCCCCATTAAATCCGCCAGGCATGGCATTTCAGTGCAGTTGTGTTGGTATAGGGCTAGGCTCTGTACTATAGAGTGAAATATTATTGAATTAATTGTGTCTCAAAATCCTTAGTCCGATGCTTCTCTTTTAAATGCAGCAGAATCTTGAGCCTGATTAGTACTCTGAGTAAGGGAGTAAAACATGGAAATATATAACTGGTGTGTAACATTGAAGCTAGTAATGCGAAATGATTCTACTGAGTTTAGCAAAGTTGCCTTTTCACGCTGAGTGCTAACCTACCTCCGAAAGCCTGGAAGCACAGGTATCATAAGAAGGAAAACAAATGTTTGAAATCTTTATGTTGTATAGTAATCAAGATTGTATTTTCAGTTTAGTTTGTGGCTTCAGTAAGGTTTGTGGCTACACTGATAAAAATCAGTTGTTGTTTCACCCCACTGTAATGTTGCCAGATGTACCTTGGTTCCTGAGTGGAAAGGCTTTTTCCTGACTTTGGAGTGTTATAGTCCTGTAAATGTTATTGACAGACCCTGGCTTGTTTGTTTGTTTTTTTACAAGTCCGTAGAGCTGGCACTTATCATAGCACTTCAGTGCCCCTTGACAACCCTGTCATTTTCAGGAGCACTCTCATGGGGTTTGAAGGAGCTTAAAGCAATCTTTTCCACATCTTGAGCTCAGTTTGCCAAAAGATCCTGCTCAAGCTCCCATTCATCTCAGCACAGTTTGAGTAGCAGAACATCTCCGTGGATTGTGCCCTGACTTGTCTTTGAAGAAGTCCCTTCCATATACTATGCTTTCTTTGAACAAGGATGCTTTTCTAGAGAGAAATGTATCCGTATTGCTTTATCACTGAGTGGCACTTTTAAATCATGCTTCCAGAAACATTTCAGGCTTTCCTTATGTGTGTTGTCCAAACAAACCTTTAGGATATTATTGATTACAATGTGGATAAAAGCTTTTTGCACTCCCCCCCTCCATTCGGTGTGGGGATAGCATCTGAGCAAAGTTGAAGCAAATGCATTGCATTGAAACAGAGTTGCAATAGTCTGTACTTTTTAAAGGAATTGATTGTGCAATATTTGATTCCTATGACTTTTGTGTTCTCCTGCCTTTGGGAAAATACTTGTAGTGTTAGTGGTGGTTATAGCCTCCATTGTCATGCGTCCTTCAAAATGCCAGTCTTCATTTCCCCCCCCCAGCTACATATTCAAAAGCATTGCTTTCACATCATTTCGCTGCTGCCTGCCACACACCAGGAGACATCAGCAAAGAACAGTCCCAATTAGAAACATTATTACTTGTATTTGCCCACAGCTAATTGGGATTCAGAACCAGACCTTCCTTTCTGAATTAACAAAGGCAGGGATGTGTTCAGTGAGGGTGGCATGGGAAGAGAGAAAGTTCCTTTCCACATAGGGTAACTGTTCTGTGCTGACTGCCAGACCTGGCTAAGACACATTGTTTTATATGCAGCTCGAGGTTGGCAACTGTTGGTCGACGGGCCAAATCCAACCCCTTTAGTGGGCACAAAGTAACTTGCCAGACCTCTTTTGCGCCTACCAATTCTGAGCATTGGCTTGGCAGAATCGCCAGGAAGGCGAGACAGGAACAGGAACACAAAAGCATCCTCCTCCTCTTCTTACTCTTATGCCCCTGCCTCTTCCTTCTCTTGAATTGAAACAGCTTGATGAACATGATCAAGAGGAAGCTGGGTGCATGCCAGGTAGAGGAAAGAACCTCCTCCTCCTCCTCCTCCTCCTCCTCCTCCTTCTTCTTCCTTGAACCACCTGCTCTACATTCCCCCAGTAGCATGGAGGGGAGGGCAATAAGGGGAGTAGTAACTTTGGAGAAGGTTTGGCGCACCACGCACCAGCATCCGTACAAAGTTAATGGCAAAACTAGGGTCATGCTTTCTGAGTATCTCCTTCCAAAAACCTCTCCCAATATAACCAGGCTATGAAGGAATCTGAACTTTGTTCTGAGTGGCAGAAAAGCACCCTTGCTGTGAGAAGAAGGCACGTTTGTTCCTCTTAATAACTTTGAACACTGGGAAATGGTGGTTATTCTACTACCACTGGATTTAAGTACCTAGAGTAGTACACCATAAATTGCAATAATAGCTTGTAGCGTTATACTGGCATTCAGATGTCCCAACCTGGGCATTTCTGTCCTTGCTCAATAATTCTTGGGAACAGTAATACTAGTAAGATCTCTTTAAGATCTCCCATTGAAGAGACTGTGGGCAATAATAATAATAATTAATAAAATAAGCCCTGAAGTAAACCTGAACCTGGCTATTATATCTACATAAATTGTGGTTCCTGTTTTGCAATTGCTCCACTGTCTGCTGCCCCAGGGGACAAAACACTCAGAGTGACAGATCAGAAGCACAGCCTTGGACATGATCATTCATACATGTTGACAGCTTTTCATATTATATCAAGCTGAATGGGACTGCTAACACTGTGATCATGTACCTATACCAGCAGCCTTTTCTTCATTGCTTCTTGTTGCACTGAACTCTAAATAAGAAGCAGTGTCATTTCCACAGGAGTTAAGGAGAACGGATGACTGTCACAAGTGACTACTTGCAGCTGAGAAGTTGTAATAATTGAAAAAGAAGATAGGTATTGGACTTGCCTGCCATTTCTTCCAAAATTGTGGATTAGAGAAAATCTGGAAGGCTATGATTATGTACAGAGTTTCTCAGCAAACACAGCAAGCAAGGAATCCTAATTTAAAAACAGATATTTTGGCATCATGGTTTCTGTTTATTTTCTATGTGGAAACTCAAAACTCTTGATTAGTTTCTAATCAACTCCAGATGTCTATATGTTTCCTGAAAATTATTCTTATCACACACACACACACACACACACACACACACGTTATACAACTTGCCTATCCAATCTTTCCAAAAGGAGGCTCTTTCTCAGGCTGTTTTTGCTGTAGTCATCCCACAAGCATATCCATTGTATACTAAGGATTGTAATCAGTGAGTTATTTCTTCAGTGACCTTGCTGTGTATTCTCTTCTGTTGCCTGTACTTCTAACTTTACTTTAAAATTAAATTAAATTTCATGGAACCAGAGAGAGACAGACACAGAGAGAACACTTTGCAAACTGCCAAAGCAAAGAATACCATTCACTTGTGAACTGCTTGTGTGTTGCGGTTATTTTTCATTTGCCATGCTAAGCTGTTCTGTTTGCGAGATAGACCCCTTGTGTTTGTGGGCACTGAACCAGCGAAAAATACCAGCTGAAAATAGACAATGAAGGACCTGAATGCAGCAGTGCCCTCCAAGCGAGCACAGGCAAGGCAAGGCATTCCTCAAAGTAGATGGGAAGTGCAGTAGCTCTGCTGAAGCAGTTATAATGTCAGCCTCAAGGTATGTTCACTGCATGGTTCTCTTAGTGAACTGTAGGGGGTTTTGGGTGCCCAGCCTTTTTTATATATACATATAAAAAAAAGGTCAACCAACTCTAGGTTTTTCTGTCATGTTTGCTCAACTTCCCTTGTTTATGCAAACCAAAGTCTGCACTTAACAGCCAAACTGTGTTTTGCGCAAATCAGAATAGAAAAACATAGTTTCACCTTAGCATGATGCATGCTCTTAACATTTATAAAGATCTTCCAAATGTTAAAAGAGCTTCACATACATCACCCTGTTGCAATCCTTATGAAACCTCTATAAGTTGCATTAGTATTATTATCCCATATTGCAGATGGGGGAGGAAGTTGCTAGGCCATAAGAAAGTGAGTTGCTTAAGTCCAACACCAGAGATGTCATGGCAGAGGTGATAAGAGAGCCAGAGACTTCCTTGTTCATAATTGAGCCACTTAGCTGCCTCACCGCACCATGTCCAATTCTGATTTGTAGCCAAGTATGATTTGTGCAAATTACTGTTCAGTTAATGGTAACTGTGTTTTGCACAAGCAAGGAAGTGAGGAAGTTTTTCACAGTGCATGAAGGGAGGAAAGGAAGAGTGTATCGAAGCTGAGGCTCATGCATGAATGACTGAACTCCGACTTGCTATGATGTGTGAACGAAGCCAATGTTTAAAGTTTATTTTCACCATTATCAAAAGGTATAATGTTATCCTGACTACCTGAAGAGGTGAGATCAGTTCAGGGAGAGATGCAAAGCTTCTCTTGTGCAAAACTCACAGAATGATTTTCTTCCACCCTCTTCTGTTTTGCTGAAGAAATCATCCAATAGCTTATCAAAATATTTAAAGACTTAAGATTATGCATATGCATTTTCACTTGTGGTTACTATTCATAATGAGACTATGCATCATCAGCATCTTACAACTCAATAACCATATAGTAGTCCTTGTGATCAGCACCAGATTTTGGGTGGGCTGTTCCCCTGCAGAGGGCAACAAGATGAGGGAGTGC